GTCGCGCACAACCACAGTGGGTGATGGCGCCTATGTAAATAATGCTAGAAGTCCTTCGTAGGGGTCTCTCTATCTCTAGCATTGTTAACTGCCGTAGACATCATAATAATGATAATCCATGGATTTTGGCCTACTCCACTGTGCTCATGTTCTGTGAAGCCGGTATAATGGCGACTAATGCCTGATATAAGAGATGCGCATTATTGTCCAGTTAGTGATCTCAAGTGAGGGATAGTGGGTCCTGAGCGCACCGTAAGCCAGACTTCAGTACTTACAACTACAAAGCAAGCATTAATTAGCGAGGGGGGTAAAAAATCCCACTAACTGCGCTAATTCACTTAGGGACGACAATTACTACTTATAAGCGGCCATTACTGAAGGAGGTTTTTCCTGATGAAGCGCAGCGTGAGATCATTCTCGACGGTCACCATGGGCAGATCGGTTAAAATCCATCTTGAAGTCCAAGTCGAATGCGCTACAATACGGACACAGTTATGAAACGGGAGGTCATAACGATTAGGCGCCCTATGGCCATTGGCGCCGGGAAGGGGAGGGGGGGCTCAGCACGACAATCATCCCTCCTTTTACGCGCGACCAATTAGCCTTCGCGTCGCAATATAGCCTCCTGCGGTCTCTACGGCGGGCGCATGGCAGGGCGAAGGCATACGCATACTGTGATTTGATTACTCCTCGATGGAAAGAGATGTAACTATCACGATTATTCCGATGAAGTACGGCGTCACGAAGCTTCGGTAATGATACTCGGTCTTGTTCCAAACATAGTGCTGATGCTGATGGACATGTCCTTCCCTAGGACTTTCCCTTGTGAACCTTCACAGGTTTTGCGACCTTGACCGCAATTCCTGCCCATACATATTGAGCAGGTGCAGTGGCTTTCTCGTGGAGTCCCTAGTATCCGCAGTCGGACTCTCAATGCGCAGTGAATACAGTTGTTCACACGCATGAGAGGTAAAGGCTGGAAAAGGAGTGCGGGCCAAGAGGCGTCCGCACAAGCCCGATGAGGTTGGTGCCGCGCGACATGGGTTTTGTGTCAATGGCATTCCGTGGGTCTCGCATGATGGTACGACGTATAGGTATATAAACGCCTCTCGTTAGTCTGCACCACAAGAAACTGGACAGGTCTTGAACCTCTGTTATACTTGCGATGTCGTCCACACCGCAGCGTGCACGTTAAATCTAACACGAACAGGACGTCGCTCACGACTGTTCGCGAAGCGAGCTAGCATAGCAGCGTGCGTGAGTGATATAGGACTGCAAATGTTCAACAACGTGGGCGATGGTGCAATCACTTCAGGTCAGTTTTATGCGCCACGTCCAAACACGATCTGAAGTCCGCTTTATACAGCCCAGAACGATTTGTTGAATGCAGATATCGGCGCAGCAATGCAGACGCCGTCCACTCGTAGGAACTCCTTGTGATCTGTGATTGTAACCGAGTTCCGATGCGATTCTCAGCCTCGCGTCAAGCGATAATCGCCCAGGCACAGGGCTGGTATACAAGTATGATTCATTTCTACGATCAGGACATTAGCTATTTACTGATAATTTGAAGATGATTTCGCCCAGAGCTGTGCTCCCCAGAGCAGGCTGCGCGCTTTTGCAGTGAGTTCCTTCGCCGTACATTCCTGCATCCGCGGAGGACGCTGATTTTTATCCAGGCGGCCGCAGGTCCTATTTCTTTGTTCTACGAGACGCTTACGCATCAAATCGTCGAGATGCGATCTGACAACGGATGGGCCAATACCGGCTTCCTCCAAGATAACGTCTTGCCCGGTACCGAAATGGCCGAGATGCATTCGCCCGGTGGCTACCTCGCCATATTGTTCTTTCAGGATAAACAAGGCTACATATGCTACAGGTCGGTCGGCTCGGATCATCTCGCAGCCATGATTTTGACCGAGATGAATCTGGCAGAAAGGCGAGCGGGGTAGTTTGGGACGACGAGACACAGGCAACTTGTAACGGTAGTATAGTAGTACCGTATACGCTTTGTAAGCCGCCGCGAGGCGGCATGATGCAATAGACCAGATACCGCATCCCATTGGATGCGGTCACTCACAATAACAATGATGGCGCCTCAACACCATATGGCGCCCAAATCACATTACTGCGAGGCGTAGACATATAAACGCCCGCTACATTACCATGTACCGTATCTCTTTTGCTCAATACCACTCGGTTCTGTTCTGTTTCGGCCAAGTCGCGTCGTAGCATAGCATTACATAAGCTAGCTACTTTACACTTTTTTGAACACGCCGTATATTATTGAAATAAATCAAACGGTACATGAGAATGTCCGGAACACGTACTTTGAGAAGCGCGGGAGTCGCCATTGACGCCCAGAGAGTAGTAACCGAAGGCTATGAAGCCACTAAGAATAAGAAGGGGAAACGCCCTGAGCATAATGAAAGCGTGGGAAACGATCAATCTGATGTGGGAAACCTATCATCATCATATCAAACTGATACCGGAGACTTAGCAGGAATGAGATCAATAGCCGAAAGACTATGGAATCAGGGTGGTAAACGCCCACTTCGAATGGAGGACATCAATTTAATTATTGATCAAACTAAAGTAAAGAAAGGGAGTAACTATAGACAATTACTACTACTACAACGCCGGATGGAGAAACGGCAACTACAGGATATCGGACCAGCCGAATGGTTCAGCCTTGAACTCAAACAGGAAACCGGAGACGCACCTGCTGAAGGAAGACCGGGCCGCCGAGAGTTCGTTACGCCTAGGACGGATGGTAACGAAGGCGATACCGAAGAAGACGAGAATGAGGTACGCCGAGCCACTACGGGACTCGGCAGCGCGCGTGCATCGAACTATGATGATGATCTATACGCGAGCCCAGAGCACGGGCAAGCGACCCAGAACAATGGATCAGCTGCAGGCGCGGCCATCAATTCCCACGCAAGAATGACGCCAGGACGCAGGCAACCCGCGCCCTCAAGCGGAGGAATAATAATTAATCGTGGACCTCCGAGCGGAGGTCCAAGCAACCATCCAAGCAGTAACGGAAACTCCCGAACAGGAGGAGGAAGTCAGCGCTCGAACGGGCGAGGGCTGGGACGAGGAAACGCTCCGGGAGGCAGCGGGGACCCTGGATCTGGCCCAAACGGGAACAATAGCGATAGCGACGGATCGGGCGAGACTAACCGACGGCGAATAACGCCGAGATCTGATGATGAAGACATGCGCGCATTGCGCGAAGGGTCGTACATCCCGTTCAGCAACGAATTCACGGGAATAAGTTTGCGTACAGTATACCACAATCGAATTAAATACATGATTGAAATATACGTAGGAAACTATGTTGAACCAGATCCAAATACTAAAAGTCAGAAACCTCCAAGCCCAGACGCCTGGAATGGACAAAATGACGCCGACAAATTCATGGATTGGCTAGAATCGCTTCTCGAATACTTTGTACTTACCGGACTGTCGGGACCTCGGCGGGATCACTTGCGCAAACTACACACACCTGCCCGATTGGGAGAAAAGGCCCGCCATTGGTGGCGTCTCAAGGTATCCCGCACTAACCCAGGAGTACCAGTGTTGAATTTTATTACAGCAATACTGGAGATGTTCGACCGATTTGTAATAGATATTACGCCTGAAAAGGCAATAAAGAAGTATAAGGAAGTCACCTTTGACCCTGAAGCGGGGGTACAGAGCTTTTACGACGAATTAATTGAAGCATCTTCTCGACTATTGCAGCCCCCTTCTGAGGTCGATATGTCGGAACATTTTCTGACCAGATTACCTCAAGGGTATATCACGCACTTAATG